CCATCAGCAACAACTTATTGGGGGAGAAAACAAACCGGATTCAAGTGAAGGAGGAATTCAGGAAGAATCAGTGGAAGTGCATAGACACACACTGCAAAAAGCACCTAACTGTATCACAAGACAAGCCCTCACTTGAAGCCTTCAAGGTAAATGGAAAAGACGAAGGCCAAGGAACACATTACGCCGAGAAAAAGAGAAAGACATGAAAAGAATAAACAAAAATTGGACAGAACTAGAAAGGGAATCCCAGGACAGAGTAGGTTGGAGAAAATTGGTTGGTGGCCTATGCTCCATGGGGGGCTGACAGGCGAAAGTAAGTAAGTAAGCCTATGATTTGCCGATCCGCTCCTACACATCTACATCACATCAACGCCCATATATGTAAAGGTTTTTACATCTTCCAAAGATGATTACTTCATGATAATTTTTTAATGAGTTCAATCTAATTTATGTTTTACTATTGTTTAAATTTGGTCAAATCTATCATGTAAATAATAAGATTTAAACAAGCAAGAAGGCTGAATTTCTGAACGGACGATGGGTATAAGTACATTTTCCAATTAGAGTTATGGAGATCATTGACTTCACAGATTGAAATCATGATTCAGTCATTGTTTGACCACCATTCGAAACCTGGAAGCACTAGACGACGACGACGAGTCCGACGATAGGACTCTTCAGCAGTGCGCATTCACGACTCCTGCTACTCTCAGGATTCAAAGCCAGGACCGTCGGTTTGAAGCGCGAACGCCTAACCTCCAAACCACTGGGCCGGCATCCTTCGTATCGCAGACTAGCAAATATATGAACTCAGTAGCCCAGTAAACAACGTATTAGAAGTTTAAAACGAAGAGCATTAGCTCTGAGCCCCAATGTGAACATCACCACTGGCTTACGCACAAGATGTAGAGTAATATACAAAAATATTAAGTCGGTTGATGAAATTTTGAATCATCATCGACCTATTTGGTTAACATATGTTTTACGTAGACTTAATCATTGCCTGCCTCGACGCATGTTGTTTACTGGTGTGGTGGTATATCAGAAGAGAACATTAGTGGCGAACGAATCCATTTCCCTTATTAGTGAGTTGATGTCAGGATATTCATCCGATATCCTAAGAGAATTATTGGTCAACTCCTATTGGTTAATGCCTACTGGTCAATTTTATTGTCGTCCTAGATATCAGTGTCACATACTCCAATGTTGTTTCTTATCCGTCATCCTGACTATCAGTGTCACTTCATATGTTGCTTCTTATTGGTCGTCTTAGCTGTCAATGTCACAGGCTTTGATGCTGTTTCCTATTCGACCAAAATGTATAAATACGCATTATGTGTAACGTTTTATGACCAGGACCAGGACCCGGTCACGGATCCCTAGTCCCGGATGCTGATTCTCTTCTGGACTCGAACCTCGTACTTTCTGAATGCTTGTAGAATACCTGTTCTACTTCATGTCAAGTCTTCTTCTTTTATTCAATGGAGGGGGGGGCGGTTGAGACACTCGAAATAGAGTAGCATGTCGTCTCGCCGGGATCCTCAATACTCGCTCTCGTTTTTTCCGACTAAGCTATACTCGTAATAATGCTTCAAGCATATCAAAAATAACATGTTTACATGCAATGCATACTAGAGATGACTAACATTTATGTTTATTTCAATCATTTTTTTTCTCTGCACTGTTTTTTTCCCTTCTTAATTTCAGATAACAATTACAATTTATGGCTTGGCGGTTATAATCATCTTCATGAATCATTGCATAATAATAATACTAATACTACTAATAATAGTAATGTAAAATCGATTAAATTCGGCTTATTATTTATTATTCCATTGGATAATTTCTCTACTAAAACATCCATGCTATTAGCTTCTTGGCCAAAAATGTATATATTTAAACAATATTTGAAAAAATTTATTAATGACAATGATTTTTATACCAAGCTTTCTGATTGGCCAATTCATTTATCTCTATTGAATATTGATAATGATGAAGCGGTGAAAATAAGTAGTCAAGGTTCAATTGTTTCATCGTTATTAATAACTTGTTTAACATATTTTGGTGAATTACGAATATATAGGTAAGTAAAGATATGATTAACTAGAATATATTTGGTGACAGTTATTGATTACTTACTTATAACGCCTGTTACGCCCAACTGAGGATAGGCTGACGACCAGCATCCTCCAACTTACTCTATCTTGGGCCTTCCTTTCCAGTTCAGTCCAATGTGTGTTCATTCTTCCCATGTCTGTCTCCATAACTCAGCGTAATGTGTTCTATGGTCTTCTTCGTTTCCTTTAATCTTGAGAATCCTAAGTGAGGGCTTGTCTTGTGACACACTAGGGTGCTTTCCTCATTGTTTGTCCTATCCATCTAAAGAACGATTTCTCAGCTTCTTCCTCGAACTGGAACTGATCTCGATTAGGCAACCGTAGGAAGCACTGATAAGCTATTCTATCCTAATATAAAACTTTTCAGTTGTGCGCATCCATGACTCTGCCGAGGAACAGATCCTGAATAGCTTTAGTCTCATAAACAATTCCCTAAATGTCTAAAAATGATGTATATGTTTGATTTCAATTAATCGTGATATTGCACAACTGTTTTACAGTGCTTTCGCTGAGAGTAGCTGCTTTAAACTCGACCCAGTTGAATTCCACTGGTTACATCAGTAGTATTTTCACTAAATCCCTCCTATTTAGTTCAGTTCAGACGCTATCTCGTTATTCACTTAGCTATTTAGTCAAAATAGCCATTTACATGTGCAATTAAAACTGTTTTGGCTTATCGCAGTGATGCAGTCAAGCTCCAGAGTGAACATCAACTCTGTGGTGGTACAGGTACATCATCCAACTGACAAGTCTCAAATAGGACAAAACGCGCATGTCCTAGATTTTCCACTGCTAACCACATTCTATGTCTTCTATGTGTACAAATAACTGTTAGCTTCTGCATCATAACTAAACTTATAGAGTAATGTTCCAGTCGGATTAACACCTTTTTTTTACTTTTCCATTAGTTCAAAAATGTGTGTATATGTGTAAACGTTGAACAATTGGGATGTAAGAAAAGTTTCAAATTACTGTTGGATACAGTTGATTCGACAACATACTCCGAAATTCATCAATGAAGTTATGTGACAATGATTTTAATGGACTAATGACCCGTGTTGGTTTGGCCGCCACTAATGTTCTCTTCTGAAATACCACTACACTAGTAAACTATGCATCGAAGCAACGAATGATTAGGCCTACGTAAAACATGTGTCAACCAGCTAGGTCGATGATGATTCAAAATCTCATTAACCGACCTGATGTTTTTACATGATACTTTGTGTCTCATCTGCAAGCCAGTGGTGATGTTCACGTTGGGATACAGTACACTAGTGATTAGCTTCGTGAGGAAATTCTCAGATTTCTTTAGTGAGAAGACGTGACCAGTGGAGCGCAGTGGTCCAGACGTTAGGCGTTCGCGCTCAAGACCAAAGGTCCCAAGTCCGAATCCTGTGAGTAGTAGGAGTAGTGGATGCGCACTGTTGATTAGTCCCATACACGGAAGAAACGGCCGTCCAGTGCTTCGATGTTTCTAATGGTAGTCTAACAATGATCGATTGATGATTTCAAAGAAACTTAATTGATCCAAATAAAACTATAAAGTATATTTTGCAATGTATTTAGAAACAACGGGAAAACTGCGAGAAGCTGAATAATTTTTGTCCACGTGGGCACTTTGTAATATTACTGTGCCCTTTCCTTTTTTCCACTAACTATCTATTTACAAAAGATTGCTTTATGTGATTGTTACACATTTGAAATCATCAATCAATGATTGTTAGACCACCATTAGAAAACTGGAAGCACTGGACGGCCGTTTCGTCCTAGTATGGGACTCCTCAGCAGTGCGCATCCACGACTCCTGCTCCTCGCAGGATTCGAACCACCCATTTGTCTTTGGTAGTTACTGCCTACACCCGACAGGGTTGAACTCCATTGGTCACGTCTTCTCAACTAGAACTCCGAGAATTTCCTCACGAAGCTAGTCACTAGTGAGCACATGTTACGATATTTTCAGTTAGAGCTTTGGAGATTTGTGTTTTTACACATTTAAAATCATCAATCAATGATTGATGCAAACCTCCAAAACTGTGCCCCATAATTATGTGATTGTCTTGAGAAATGTGTGAAAAGTTTCTCGCAATTAGCTGACGAAATGAGAAACACCGCGCTATTCAATTAATCATTCATTTTACGTTCCGTCAGTCAGAGTCAGATGCAACGTAGAACTTCGTACGTACGTACAGCAGTTCAAGTTGCCATACCACATTAACACAGAGATGTAATTGTCAATTCAAATCCAATAGTAGTAGAGGTAGTAAATGTATTCGAAGTAATCGGAGAGATTAGGGTTCGAAGATGTTATTCAAGAGGTATGATTCAGTGAGGTAAATTTCAAAACAGAAAGGTAGAGGTGATGAGGAATTCAGGTTAGGACTTCAAAGAACACAAAGCATAAATACACCTACGCCATGTCACTCAGGGTCTCTAACCATCGATTATTATCATCTCGCAGGCTCCAACCAGGTAGTTTACATCTACCGACATGATTCAGTCCACTTGTCAGTAACTTCATGCATTTCTGCCATGTTTTGTTTTGGCCTTTTACGTCCAGTATTACCTTTTTGATGTTAAAAAAATCTCCTTGGTTTTCTCTTCTTATCTTTTAGATCAAATATTCAAAATGCTTCAAAGTATAATTGTCTGTTAAAATTCAAACTATCACAGCATTATTCCACATTGTATGGAAATTCTTTTCAACCAGTTCCTATCATACAACAAATTGGTTGTTGTATCATACATCATTGTAAAGAGAATAAAATCAATAATAATTCAAATTGTCACTCATCGTCATCATCATCATCAACAGCAGCATTATTTATCCTATGCTTATTAGATTCACAAATTTGTATTGTAAAAATTCATATTTCTTCTAATTTCATATTGAAATTTGAACGAGTTGTTTTAATGAGTGCAGAACAACAAAAACCTATATATACAGGTGTTATTCTTCCGGAAATTTGGTAAGTTGTTGAATACAAAAGAAGTAGGATGATAGTACTTTTATTTAATTGTTATCAGTTCCGAAAAGAAAATGAGAAATTCTTTTACTGTATGTATTAAAGGCAATCCGATTAAACCGTTCAATAATGATGTGGTGTGAGCTACTTATAAGTAGTATATGACGTGAGTGTCAACGTAATGTCTGGCAGCAAAGATGGGGGAAGATCAAGAAAGGAAGAGTTAGAAAACAATGGAATTTGTATGAAACGCATGAATAATGACAATGGATTTATGTTTAGCAACAGGAACAGTCCAGTTCGATATGATGGGTTGATATTTTGCAAATTAACGATTTACGATATGGTTTTCTAATTTTACGGAGTAACTCTGTAATTTTCGATAAATACAATTCGGTTGCCCCACCTGCGTTCTCGTTCACTACGATGAGAGTTGTTGGATTGAAGTTAGACATTGTTAAATGTCGACATAGTAGTTTAAAGGTTAGGTGTTTACATGTGAGGTTGAAGGTCTTGGCTTTGATTCCTATGTGTAGGGTCGTTGATATACACTGTTGAGATGTCTCACACTAGGGCGAAACATTCATCCAGTGTTTCTAGGTTTGTACCGGTTGTCTAACTCATATCTGTTGTTAGTTTTAATGAAATTCAATAGTCTCTACTATTTCTTACTTATTTACTTACTTACTTACTTTCGCATTTTACACCTAATGGAACATAGGCCGCCGATCAGCATTCTCCGACCTACTCTTTCCTGAGTCTTCCTTTTCAGTTTATTCTTTTCATGTCTGCCTCTAATTCTTGGCGCAATGTGTTTTTCGGTCAATCTTTTTTCCTATGGCCTTGAGGATTCCAATTTAGGGTTTGTCTTGTGATACAGTTGAATGTCCTACCTACCTCCAGTGCTTTTTTCCAATTTCTTCCGCAACCAGAATCTGATGTGTTCGCTCCACATTATTCCTTGCTGAGGATGAAAAGTTAAGCAGTTACTTTCTATAAAACAGTTCTGAATTCTTGATTCTCCTCGACGTATAACATTAAATTGCATACGAAATTTTAATTCGTTCGTATTCTGGTGTAGGCAGTAAATACCAAAGGCAAATGGGTGAGGTCGCAGAAAAACCCCTAGATTGATCAGAGTTAGACATTAACATCGTTAGATGCCGGCCTAATGGTCCAGCGGTCAGGCGTTTGCGCACAAGACCGAAGGCCCAGGAGTCGTGCATGCATACTGCTGATGAGTCTTATAGCATGAAGAAGCGGCCATCCAGTGCTTGTGGGTTTTCATCGATGGTGGTCTAACAATGATTCTTTCATCATTCCAATGTAAACCAACGATCCCCATTGTACTGTAACGCAAAATTAATAAGTAATTGCTTTTGCTGACTTTGAAACTTTTTACATTTGCATTTATCCACGGTCTGATCGCTCGAATATGCGACTTCCATACTGTTACGCCTGCACGTAAACATGTAATTTTGATATGCTTGAACTATTACGAGTTTACCGAGTCAGAAAACGAGAGCGAGGATCAAGGATCCGGCGACACGACATGCTACTCAAATCCGATTATCCCGACCCCCCATATTGAGTAAAAATAAGAAGAGGTGATATGAAGTAGAACATGTATTCTACAATCATCCAGAAAGTACGAGGTCCGAGTCCAGAAGAGAATCAGGATCCCGGACTAGGGATCCAGGACCGGGTCCTGGTCCTGGTCATAAAACGTTACAGATAACGCGTATTTATACATTTTGGTCGAATAGGAAACAGCATCGAATTATGTAACGTTGACAGTTAGGACGACCAATAAGAAACAACATTGGAGCAAGTGACATTGATATCTAGAACGACCATGAATTGGCCAGTAGGAATTAACCAATAGGAACTGACTGATGATTCTCTTAGGATATTAGATGAATATCCTAACACAAACCTCATAGTGACCCTGCTACTTTTAGACCCCCTTGGAATCGAGTAATCTCCATGTCACAGTTCTAATCTACTAACAATGTAAAGCACAGCTATCGTCTAACGTTACCGATAAAACTACCTTAACTCTTCACCATTAGAATCTGGAAGCACTGGACGGCCGTTTCGTCCTGATTGGCAGTGCGCATCCGCAAGTCCTGCAACTCGCAGGACTCGAACTCAGGACTTTCGGTATTGTAGGCGAACGCCTAACGATCAGACCACTGAGCCGGTATCTAACAGTGTTAATGTCTAACTTCGATCAATTCATGGAGTTATGCAATCACATACACAGTCTTCGGTATTTACTGTCTACACCCGAACTGGTTGAACTTCACTGGTCACAAAACTTCCCACTAGAACTCGGAGAAGATTCCTTACGAAACTAGTCACTAGTGAGCACAGGTAATTTGCATTACGGTGATGTGAAGATTGTTAGGTTACACATTTTTGAAACCGTGAATCGATCAATGTTAGACCACCACTAGAACCTGGAATATATATATATATATATATATATATACCTGCCTGAAAAGATTATTTTTCTGTAAGTATCACGATAATTTTGTTTGTACAATTTTTCTCCTAAAACTATTCTTTGAGTTCGTTAATCTCCTTTCCCATTTTTTTCTCTCATATTTAGTGGTTCTCATGTTTGGCTTAGTCAAAATGACGGTAAATTACTATGTTATACATGGGATGATTCAGAGTTTGGGATTCACTCTTCTTCCACCACCACCTCATCGACATCATCATCATCACCAAGTTGTCTAAAGCTTCATTCCTATTGGTTTGTTCCTTCATTGTTCAATTCAAAATCGCCTGTAGTCACTCATTTTTTGATTGGAAATTCAATAGGAACCGATAATCGCCAAGAATGTTTGTCCAGCGAAGTTGATCAAAGTGAACATGTTTGTGTTTGGACATATCTGGAACCAGGTAAGCGGTAATAGATTTTCTGTTGTGTTTGTCTAACATTATTGTCATCAAATGTCAAAGAATTGTTTTACGCGCCAGTCACTCACTCACTGAACAGTAGGAGAATATTGGATCCTAGTTGTTCGAATGAATTAAGTTAGTAATATGGATGCATTAGTTTAAATGAGTTGATACCACAGTGTAATTTTCTGGTATTTTATAAATCAGAAGAGAAAAATGGTATGAAATTATGAATTATGGTTTCATATTAGCTGATTTTGATCAGCAATGCTTAGCTGTAATCATTCTTTCTCTGTGACTCAGCTGAATCAATAGAACAATGGATCTCCTTATTAAAGTAATCCGTATGAAACCACTCTTGACTTGATTTTTGTGCCTACAATCCTCAAAGAAATAATGCTCCTTATGGGTAGGATTCAAACCCATGTCATGTACTAGAAGCATCAGTTTTATGAATCCAATCAGTGCTAAAGATTAGACACACATGAAATTGGTTATTTATCGATCATCAGTCTAATGAAATCTCGTCACGAATAGAGAAGGCTTGACTTGGCTTATGCCAACTTGTGTTGTTTATGGTGTAGGTTGAGATATCCGTCTGCTAATAAAAGGACGAGTCTAATGTGCAGCAGTGCGCTCCGTCTTACTATATGGATGCGAAACATGGTCGATGGGATTAGAAGATATTCTTAGGTCTCTAGTCTTCTATTACAGATGTCTTCGAAGCATTGCTTGTGTATCCTGGGACTAAAGAGTAAACAATGCTGGTGTTAGGAAAAGAGTACTAGGTTAAGGATAGCAAATCATTTTGGTGAAGTACTTAATGTTCATCAGCTGAAGTGGTTGGTTGGTATACTACTGACTGCCTCGATGCGCTATGTTTTGCGGTGTAGGGGTAGGTTGGAAGAAAGCTAGAGGCGTCCGAACTTAAACATAGCACAAATCCATGAAGTTTCTGACAAGTGGACTGTGTCACGTTGGTAGATGTAAACTACCTGGTTGGGGTCCACGAGACGAAAGTCACCGATGGTTAGCGACGTTGAATAACATGACTCAAAGTCGTTTGCAACGGCACTGGTGTGCATTTATTCTTTGTGTTCTCTCAAAGTCTAACTTTGTGAATTCCTCATCAGCTCTATCTTTCTCTTGCAGCAGTTCGCTCTGTCCTACTGTACGGATGCGAAACATGGCCTTTAAGAGTAGAGGACATTCGTAGGTTACTAGTCTTCGATCACAGGTGTATCCAAAGCATTGCTTGTGTATCATCGGACAACCGTATAAGCAATGCTGTCGTTAGGAAACGAGTTCTAGGTAAGGATGGCAAATTAATAGATGAAGTAGTGAAACCTCATCAGTCGAGGTGGTTGGGACATGTGTTACGTATGCCTAACCACCGACAAGCTATGTTTTGTGATGTAGGAGTAGGTTGGAAGAAAGGTAGGGGCAGCCAGACCAAAACCTGGCAGAAATCCATGAATTCACTGACAAGTGGACTGAGTCATGTTGGTAGATGTAAGCTACCTGGTTGGGGTCAGCGAGACGAGTGTCACCGATGGTTAGAGACTTTGAACGACATGGCTCAAAATCGTTTGCAATGGTGCAGGTGGATTTACTCTTTATGTTCTATGAAATTCTAACCTGAATTCCTCATAATCTCTATCTGTCTCTTTCTAACTTTATCTTACTGAATTATACTTCTTGAATCATATCTTCGCTCCCGAATCTTCTCCTTTACTACTAATAATTCTACTATCTCTTAGAGTACGGGATTGGAATAGACAGTTCGATCTCATCGTGTGGTAATGTGGAACGTCAACTTGAACTGCTGTACGTACATACAAAGTTTTACGTTGTAGCTGACCGACTGATATCATTGATTTATAAAAATCAAAAACATTTTCTCTATTTTATTAAAAGATTTGTAGTTTTTAATACAAATACCAAAATTTATGTGTTTTTTTTTCAAAAAAGAATGAGTCTACAGTAATTTTTCGGTCTACTTCATCTGAATAAAATTTTCGTTTCATTAGAATCGGAGGTGTTTGTCACAGAGACTATTCAATTTGCCAATGACAGCTCTCATTATAGACTGGGATTTTACTTGAAGGATGATTGATAATTAAACAGAGATTTACAGTTTATTTATGCTTGTATCATACCTTCAAAGCTGGAATACTGAAGATGTAATCATTACATTGAAGACCGGATCATTATCCAATAATGCGCACCTGTGATTTTCGTTATTCAGTGGTATAACATTTGTTATCAGGTGTATCCGCCTCACTTAAGACATGGTTGAATGCCTCCAATTTTGAATTTTCAACAGAGTTGTGATATCTGCGCGTCTTATAATAAATCTCTTGTAAATGATTAAAGTTTAACGTTTCTAATGAATAGTATTACGGATAAATCTGCAAATTTCTTTCCATTTATTTACAAATTCAATTGTTTTAATTTTGTGATATGAAATGTTCAATAAATTATTTGATGTAATTTATATCAGTATCACAATGAAAGCGGTATACTGATTGGTTATCGTGTCGTTTTTGAAATATATACTTATATCAACATATAATAATAACAGTTAACATTATACACCGTTAGACACCGGCTCAGTGGTTGGCCATTTCGTCTCAACATGGAACATATAAGCAGTGCACATCCAAGACTCCTGCCACTCGCAGGATTCGAAACCAGGACCTACAGTCTGGTGCGCGAACACCTAACCTCTGCCCCACTGATCTGGCCGACCTACAACGGTGTTAATGTCTAACTCCGATCAATCTAAGGATTTCGCGCTACCTCACCCATTTGTCTTCTGTAGTTACTGCCTTCACCCGACTAGGCTGAACTCCCTCTGATCACGTCTTCTCACTAGCAGCACTCCGATAATTCCCTCACGAAGCTAGTCACTAGTGAGTAAATTATATTTTTTTAACTCTGTTTTTTTCAACAATTAGATGGAAAACTTGACTGTTGGTCAGCTATTTCACAAACTCTATTGAAAAGTATCAGTTTAACATATCAATTGGATAGTTTTCTATACACAAAGAAACTTCCAGCATTCGGTAAGATTTATTCATAATAATAATAATAATAATAATAATAATAATAATCGATGATATGGCTGGAGATCGCCGATTCACGTCATGTGGTAACAAAGTAGTTAATAATCTGGATTTTATTCCGTGTTCTCTACTTCTTCCATGACTTAGTGTTTCACACTTGACAATTAAACATCTGACCCAGACCGTTGACCTTGAGCCGACGCAAGATAAGCTCCTGTTACTCAAACCTTTCTCTGTCGTTTACCACAGGTTAGAACAACACACAGTGAACAATACTGGTGTTTTCAATCAGATTGTTGTCAAGCTTTACTCTTCAATGTACATGAATATTTTTATGAAAATGTTAAACCAATCAATGGATCAATAATCACAATGACCTAGATTACGTAACCACACATAAGCAGTGAGAAAGTACAAGTTGATAGTCGGAAGCCAGGTGTACTGTTTTTGTGTATTGTTACGGGTATTGAAGGCGGTTGTCACTTTCCGGCTGCCTATACCGTGGAAGGGTGTTTCTTGAAGAACCTGAAAAGGAAGGTAAATTAGCGGAGACCTGTTAACGTGAGCGCAGAGCCCAAGGGACAACTGCTTGAGGCCGGTCACGCACGGGCTTTTTATGACAAGTATTTAAAGTGCTAGCTCCGCCGAAGACGGAGATCCGTTAAGTAAGGTGAGGTGTGACATTTTTAAGGTCGAGTTCTTCAAACCCCTTCCTCACTTGTGAGAAGGCAGCACCAATGCAGATGCTGGTTGTCCGAGGAAAACAGTTTACTGCTGTCACACCCTTCTATAGTCAACAGTACGACTTCGCCCTCAGACCTTGAGTAGCTGCTTTTAGTCTCATCGTTCCCCAATCGACCTGCCTGGCATGGTAGAACCTTCAAGAACATATGTTCCAGCCACCATAGCTCGTTTGGATGATCACGATAGGCAGGCCCGACCACCACGTCAAGGTAGCAGCTACGATAGGGGGAATACTGTTAGTGGTAAGATTAATATAATACAATCGCAAAAGTTTTTGTCGACGCAGTTCAATATTGCAAGTAGTAGTAGTGGTAGGTCTAACTTTTAATCACAAAACTTTATTAGAATTACGTAATAAGAAGAGTGTAAAGTAATAATTATAGGTAGTGAAGAATATAAACGGAAAGAGGCGGAAAAGCAATGTCAAACTGTTGAGGACATTAGGCCCCCAGAAGAACTCACTTGGAAGGTCTTTAATTTTGTAATTATTTCTGAATTTTTGAATATTTTTCATGTTTTCGCGCATAGGTCGCTTAGTTGACCTTGAGCTTACAGTTCTTACTCGGAAAATCCTTGACTGTCTTTGGCTGATGCATTATTTTAGTACGCTTTTGTGTGGCTCTCCCAAGGACGTTGTTATCATTGTATAAATAAGCTCGATATGTGTGTGCTTGTCAACCTCGTATCTTCTGGGTGCTTGTAGAATACATTCTCTCCACGACTTATCAAGACTTCTTGCTATAGTCAGCCGGGTCTGGAACGACAGATCAGAATAGTCTATCATGTCACTGAGTCATTGCTTTCATTCTGTTTACTGAGTAAGGTAAACATGTAATAGTAGTTTTTAAGCATATTAATTGACGAGCATATCAAAAACAAATACAGGTTTTGAAAATATTGGTAATGAATAAAATCATTTGTTAAGTTTTATATCTGGTCGATGAATGGACAGAAGTGTCACGAAATTGCTTCTGGGCACTTAAATTTGGGCAGAATATACAGATTCCTATGGCTTTTGCAATTGGCGTCTTCTTGTTACACCTGGACACATAAACATATCAACTTGATATGTTTGAAGTATTACGAGTTTACCTAGTCGGAAAACGAGAGCGAGGATCAAGGATCCGGCGACACGACATGCTACTCAAATCCGATTATCCGAGCAACCCCCCCCCCTTATTGAGTAAAAATAAGAAGACATGATATGAAGTAGAACCTGTATTCTACAAGCATTGATGAAGTACGAGGTCCGAATCCAGAAGAGAATCAGGATCCCGGACTAGGAATCCGGGACCGGGTCCTGGTCCTGGTCCTCGTCATATAATGTTACAGATAATGCGTATTTATACATTTTGGTCGAATAGGAAACATCATCGAAGTCTGTCACACTGGCAGTTAAGACGACCAATAGGAAGAAACAACACTTGAAGTGACATCGATAGTCAGGACGATCAATGCGAAACAACATTGGAGCACGTGACATTGATATCTATTAGGACGACCATAAAATTGACCAGTAAGAATTAACCAATAAGAATTGACTGATAATTCTTTTAGGATACTGGATGAATATCCTAACACTACTTTTGAATGCACCAAAAACACGACTGGGTAGTAGTATCATTCTAATTTGACTTTGAATGAATCAATAATCGAAATGATTAAGGCTTACAACTCAGTTGGATGCTTTTGGTGGGTACTGTTATCCTCTATGCTAGATTGTTTAATTGTGAAGTTCTCATCGTCAATCAATTAGTTAGTCATAACGTAGAACTGCGTACGTACGTACATAAGTTCTAGTTGCCACACCACATTAGCACGAAGAGAGATTCAGTATTAGCAGTAATCAGAGAGATTAGAGTTCGAAGATATTATTCAAAAAGTGTAATCTAGTGAAATAAATTTAAAAGGAGTAAGATAAAGGTGATAAGGAATTCAGAAGATTAAAATATGAGAGAACACAAAGAGTGGACGCACCTCTACGCCATTGCAAACAATAGTCAGCCATGTCATTCAAAGTCTATAACCATCAGTTACTATCTTCTCATTGTCATTCAGGACCGATTCATCAACTTCTTCTTCATGTAGGTCATAACTGTGATATCAGTTGCAGTAGTTCTGTGTCACTTCACATCTGTTTCATTTTAGAAATCCCTTATGTAGTCGCTACTTATGAGTTAGTCATGACCTACAGATCTTATAATCAACTCTTAACCATCGGATTTCATGAAATTGTAATCATATTTGTTCAAATTTTTTTTTTCAACTCTATTGATCAAAGAATTCCATTTTCATTATTCGCATTACGGGGTTGTGAAGATTGTTAGGTTACACATTTTTGAAACCATGAGTCGATCAATGTTAGACCAGCATTTGAAACCTAAGAGCACTGGACGGCCGTTTCGTCCTGGTATGGGACTCCTCAGCAGTGCGCATCCACGACTCCTGCACCCCGCAGGATCCGAACCCAGGACCTTCGGTATTGTGCGCGAACGCCTAACCATCGGACCACTGAGCCGGTATCCAACGGTGTTAATGTCTAACTTCAATCAATACACGGAGTTGCGCAACCTCATACACAGTGTGCGGTAGTAGTTACTGTCTACACCTGAACAGGTTGAACTTCACCGGTCATGAACTTCCCACCACTAGAACTCGGAGAAGATTCCTCACCAAACTTTTCGTAGTTACTAGTGAGCACAGGTAATTTGTATTACGGGGTTGTTGTGAAGATTGTTAAGTTACAATTTTTTTTGAAATCATGAATCGGTCAATGTGTGTAATTTCCATTATTCATCTAATTTTATTATTATTATTATTTTCTTTTTCAACTTATTTCAAGAAATCATTGGATCAGTTAGTACAATGAATTGGCTTTATTTATCATCAAATATACTTTTACTAACAACTCATGGTTATTTAATTCATATTAATTTAATAAAATGTACCCAAAATGTGAATTCATCTATTAGTGAACATTCAACTACAACTTATGCCTCATATACACCGATGACAGCCACAACAACCACAACACAAAGTCGTTCTCCATCTCCACTGCTGTCGTCGTCGTCGTCGCCATCTCCATCATCATCATCATCATCAAAATCATCATGTCAGCTACTTCATTATCATGGAACATGTTCAAGTAATAAAGATTTCTCTTTGATTATTCCATTGACACAGTCAACAATGTCATCTCAGGCAATCAAAGAGAATATCCCCAAATGTATTTTAACTATCAATAAAGGTTATATAAACCCGCTGAATTGTATCACCACTCATCATTGTCACTCTACTTCTATTATTGATTCTACATCGTTCAGAAAAGATTTCACTGAGACAACGACGAGGACGAGGATGACGACGATGTACGACACCAGTAATATCGATGATCAAGAGAAATTTTATTTAGTTAAATTATTTTGTGATCAATTTTTATTTCCACAATGAATTGTTTGTTTTTTTGTCAATCGAGTTTTATTAAAAGCATTTCTTCTTGTTTTGATCAATGTTCAATTATTATTCTCTACACTACAATTATTTCCCCGAAAATTCATGAGCTACATTTGACTGGCTGGCGCATTCACATTCACATTTCCACTAGTTAGCAGACATAATGTGTGTGTGTGTGCGTGTATGTGTGTGGTCAGATTAGCTGATTTTACTACGATGATCTTCTTTGTATGCACACAATGTTTGTAGTGTGTGTATTTTATTTTCTAATCTTATTTATTGTCTATGATGTTTTTTTTAATTTTTTTTTTCAAAAACTTTCTTTATATATATTTTTTAAACATTACTGTGATAATATTTGTATAAAAATTTAGAGATCATTTGAATATATTGAATAAGATGAATTTTATTGAATATTTTGCGTTATATTTGTTTGTTTAAATGAATAAAATGATATTATAGCATAATATATATAATCAAACAGATTCATTCGTATTTCAGATAAATTGTTTTTGGTAATATGTTTCATAATCTGAGAATGAGGTGGTGTCTAATCTTTTTTAAGATTTCTTTTTACTACACATATAAAAGCATTTCATGAAATCATTGTAAAGATTGCAAAATCTTTTAATGTTCATGTTAACTAGAAATCAGTAAAAATACAAATTGACATTTTTCAGCATAGTAAAGGAATTTTGGGACACAGTTTTGGAGGTTTGCGTTTTTACAAATTTGAAATCATCAATCAATCATTGTTAGACCACTAATAGAAACCTGGAAGCACTGGACGGCCGTTTCGTCCTGGTATGGGACTCATCAGTGGCAGTGCGCACCCATGACTCCTGCTCCTCGCAGGATTCGAACCCGAGACCTTTGACATTGTAGGCGAACGCCTTAACATTGGACCACTGGGCCGGCTACTAACGGTGTTCATGTCTAACTCTGATTGATCTAGGGATTTTGCGCGACCTCAACCATTTGTCTTTGGTAGTTACTGCCTACACCCGACAGGGTTGGACTCCATTGGTCACGTCTTCTCAACTAGAACTCCGAGAATTTCCTCACGAATCTAGTCACTAGTGAGCACTGTTACGATATTTTGGGGCCGTCCAGCGCTTCCAGGTTTCTAATGGTGGTCTAACAATGATTGATGATTTCAAATAGTGAAGGAATACAAATCATTTAAAAAAATAAATTATATTTATACATTTGAATTCATCAATCAATCAGTCATTGTTAGATCATCATTAGAAACCTGCAAGCACTGGATGGTCGTTTCGTCTTTGTGTGGGACTCATCAGTGGCAGTGCGCATCCGCAAGACCGAAGATCCCGGGTTCGAATGCTGAGAGGTGCGGAAGTCGTGGATGCACACTGTTGATGAGTAGTCCCAAACCAGGACCGTCCAATGCTTCCAAGTTTCTAATACGATAGTCTAACAATGATTGATTGATGATTTCAAATGTGTAAAAACACTAATCTCCATAACTCTAATTGGAAAAATTATATTTACCATAAGAAGTATAATACTGAAAAAAACAGACATCTTTTCTACGTGTGCACCCGTTGTGTTTGGATAGTATTGGTTGAACATGAAACATCACCACTCATATCAATGGAAGCAAACACGTATAAACACAAACTAGAGCAGGGAAATACCTAAATCGAAACGACCTTGGGAATCCTAGCGGATCTCTAGAACCGTAATCAGTGATTAAATCGTCAATGAATTGTCATGCTGATTTGTACTCCGTCTGTCGTTCTACTCTAGCAAAGTTAGTCGCGTGTTCGATTGTCAGTATAAAAAATAATGATAATAGAAAGGTATACGGAATTGGTTAAAAGATTACCAATCATAAATAATGGAGCAAAAGCGAAAGTTCACTTTTTGTTTGAAGTATACACTAATGATCATGTACATCATGACAATGAAATCCATTTCATACAGAACCAAACGACTATGAATTTGTTAAATGAAACATTTTAGAAACATTGATGCATACTTATTATAATGAGTAAGTTACTACATATACATTCATTTGTACAGAATTATTACTTCTTTCTGTCTCTTATGCAATACATTCGTACCATGGGTACATAGGATTTTGCCCATGCACTTCATGATATAAATAGATATTAGCATTCTTGTATTTGCTACACGTCCTTTCCTCTGTGTTTACGAACTTATGAAATTCTTGTGTTTATGTGTGCACAAGCTGCTGTCATTTACTAAGAATGATCTCTCAGTACTCCATTTAATGCGATAGGAATGGTGGATCAGATTGATATTCGCAGACAGCCCAAGTTAACCTATGAGGTTATAAGAAGGCCTTAGGTAGGATTTCGCTGCCATTCTAGCTGAATAAGTCATTATATGCTATCGAACGTGGAATGTTCATTAGCTTCTAGTGGCTCAGAATTCTAACTTCCTTTTGGATGGAGGGCTTGTAGCGAATTCAATTTTGTGAAGGAAATGCGGCTGGTTTGATGTAAACACTGATTATTATAACCAATTGTACAAGTGGTTGTTTTACTATACCTTTTGTTTGTATAATTCTTTACGCGCAAACTTTCTGTTTGTGTTGCTGTTATTTTTGGCTCCACTGTCTCTGTAATTTCGCCCCTTAATTCGGAATTCTTTCGATACCACGAAATCGCCAGCAAATATATTCTTTACAATGGAATAACTATTCTTCTCAGTGACGGGCTCATAATTGCTGTAGCGGTGATCATTTTCAATTGCGACTCGATCGCCTTTACAGGCTAAACATAATACAAACGTAAGTCATCCGCTTAACTTCGTCGCTATATCCAGACTAACCTGTTTAAGCGATAGAAGTAATTAGAATCTAAATATGTACTAAGTTAGCTGAAGTTCTCAATACACCCGTTTATGAAGCGAGACAACGATATGATAAACCCTGTACTAAATCCAAGAGACGAAGTGGGGGAAAACAATAAAGACCTGAAGGTGGTTCACCTTGAATATTCTAAAGAGTGTTGTGAAAATTTACGAAGTGATCGTAACAAGTCGTCTTCGCATAAAATGAGAAGCTGAGTTTGCCTTGGCCGCATCCCCTGTTTAGTTTGAGCTGTTGTCAAGGCTCTTTATAGTTACTGGATTGAGATCTTTCAAGGAGGAAGTGATTTGATCAGATCACGTGAGGTATAAAGTTTATATCAGGGCATTTCGACAGATTGAGTTTGAAATTATTGATTATTGTCTAATGCTGAAACCCACTAGCTCGTACTCACTCCATTCTTATGAGTACTACATTTAACTTTTTACTTGGTCTGAGGACGAAGACAGAAAATAATCAGTGAAGCCTAAATTCGGAGCCTTATCTTTTAAGAATATCGTATTTAACGCCGTTAAGAAGTTACGGAATATCTCACCGACTCGTGTTATTGATATCGGGGTTTTTCAGTGGCCTCCGAATTCGGAAGAAGTTAGATACGCGCCTTTCCCAGTCGAAGACAACAAAACAGCAATTATCTAAACAATATTACACTGTTCCTTAAAACAACTTAACACAATGTGTTTCCAATTCTGGAAGAATGCTTCCGTATAATTCCGAAATTGCATCCTTCCAGTCCATATTCAAAGTTCACCATCCAGGGAGTCGAATTCTATATGGCTGACGCCATAATTAAGTATCACTTTAAACAGCATAATACAGTTCAGTAGGAAATAGAAACTCCAATAAAGATACAAAAAATAGAAACTGTCACAAAATACAAATATTAACATCACAAATTGGGATTAAACAAAGTACCAAAATATAGCACAGAAAAAGTCAGTAAGAACATATTGCAAATATGTACATGGAGGGATTTTCCCAAAACAATGCCTTCAAATTGGACTCCACATTGATCCCTCCAATTTTTCGGTTGTCTCATGAGCATAATTTTCGCTTAGGAATCGTCTTTCCAAAATCTGTGCCTAGCTTCGGGACAGATGTCGTTTTCCTCCTGGGAATCCTTCATATGTTCATTGACTAGTCCTTCTACTAACTTCGAAAGATTGGTAATAACGCTCTTATCTAAGGCACGTTGAATCTTTCTTAACTCGTCGTCTGGCTATTGAAGAGAGAGCAGTGTGTTTCCAGTTTGATTGCGAATCAATATGTCTCTAACGGTTGCCTGAATAGGCCACATCTTCGTGAACTGATGGCTTTGCCTACTTTTCAGAATTATAGGCTGGATTTAATCGCATCCTTCTGGTGTTTCTCCTCGTAGGAATCCTATTTTTCTTAGTACTAACCCTGCAATTAGTTGGATATACCGTATAGCATCCTCAGGCACCAGAGTTAAGTAATATTTTACGTCTGTAGCTACCCAGTTCAACTAGCCGGTGAAGTTTGTAATAAAGTTCTTAATCATCTCTAATTTAGCCAGGTCTTCGCATCTTAAACTTTTAATAACGTTTATACACTGGTCTGTAATTTCGCCTCAGTAATAAACTCAAAGAGATATTTTAGGTTGGTCTGTATTTTGGCTTGCAGCTTCGGCTGGAAGTGTTTCTTATCGCTTCAACCTTAGTGCCGCATCTGTTTTTAAAAACCATATATTAACAGCGGTCAGAAACCTTCAAGTAAACTCTCCACTTGTTCTTAGTTCTCATTTTCGATCGAAGCAGGTGTTCTGTGCCTTTTTAAACCAAAGTTCTCTGTGTGCTTCACCTGAAGTCCACTGTGTAGAATGGAATTCGCTTTGATGTCTCACACTATCCCTCAGTGTTCATCTACTGTAAACCTTCGCTAGTCTTTATGCCATGTGGAGTGCAGAAAATGCTTTCTCACGGTCGTTAAGTAGGTTTTATTTCAGCTAGGGTAAATATCATTCTGACTCTTAAGTTGTACTTCATTTTTGACCACGGTAAGCATGATTGCTTTAGTCACCGATTACCACTAGCGCGTGGACAAGACCTACACCACTAACTGGAAATATCTAGATTTCACCTTCAGATTGAGATATTTTAACATTGAAAAGAATGCCGACTGCTTCTTTCCTTTCTGATAAACATTCATGGGTAATTAAAGTTAGTATTTGGCTAATTCGCAGGTTAGATATTTGCGACAACACCTAAATCATTCTTTTTGAGCCTAAATACCTGTGCAGGATGGTCGATCTCTCCGGCTTAGTACTTTGTGCAGTTTGCATTGAAGTAGAAAATGGATGATTCTTTGACCTTGTTAATTCGATACCGTGCGGTACTATGACTTAAAATAGGCTGTTGACGTGCATCGCTACACCTGTATTTTGCGACATGGGCTTCTTCGTATATCTCTTAGTTATTAGGTATTACTTACGCCTGTTGTCCCCAATAGAGCATAGGCTATCGACTAGCATTCTCCAACAAACTCTGTCCTAGGCCCCCCTTTCCAAGTCTGTCCAATTTTTGTTCATTCTGCTACATTGGTCATCTTCTCTTGCATTTGTTGTTGCGTGTGCAACAGAAGAGCCGGGTCATCTGCGAAGTCCAAATCGTCCATCTGCTTCCTAGCTGTCCGTTGAATACCGTGCTTCTCTCCAGAAGTTTACTTATTCATGATCCAGTCTATCACCAGGAGAAAGAGAGAGGGGGGGAGTAAGCAACCTTGCCTGACGCTGGTCCTCAACTCGAACGAGTTTGCAGGTGTCCTCCGTGCACGATTCGGCAGTTTACTCCATCTTAAGGATTCCGTGTGATGTGGACTATCTTCTCAAGCACGCCGTAGTGTCGAAAAAGTCTCCGTAGTGTTGTACTGTCCACACTATCAAATGCTTTCTCGTAGTTAATGAAGTTGATGTAAAGTAGTCAGTTCCATTCAATTGATTGTTCCTGAATCCATGAGATTTTGATCCTATTAGCTTCTTTTGTGCTTGTTTGGATAGTACCAGTGCAACTCGTTGTGTCTGTGAATCATTTTCCTCTTCATGACTCGGGTATAACAGCTATTCCCCTGAAACTAGTCTCAGTTGTCCTACCTATGTCGAATGCGTTTGACTGATTCCAAGCACCTCCATCTTGTATCTTTTCATTTTCTCAGAAACTTGAAATAGTCGTTGGGGTTTAGTTATTAGGTAATGTTTTGATTTTTATGTCTCGAAGAATAAGGACAAGTACCGCATTTTACACCGAAGAAATAATATCTCCAAATAAAAATTCTAAGAAACGCAGTTTACTATTTTTATCCAGTCCTACCTAACCAGTAGGCTGCAAAAAACTATGCCTTGAAAATCTCATATCTTGATCGGTCATGTTATAGGCTGACGATATCATGATGTGGAGAGCAATCAATATTAAGATGTAGTCTACAACTTAAAAATTACCTTAATGAAATTATCTGGGTGGTCTTGGTTTGCGTGGTTGCCTAGAAATGCTTCTAAGTGTACCATGATTATTATTGGTCACCAAGACAAGGATAAATATGTGGTGAATGACACTGAGTTACGACTTATAATTTATCATTAGAAAAGACTTGAAAACTATTTCATGTGTCGTGTATTGACTATTATAGTCTCGAGAACCCCAAAGTCTGTGCAAAGATGTTCTGACCATGTTGATACTAGGATATTTTCGTCTGTGTATGCAGTATTCATCCATCCCAAAATCCTGTACTGCCGCAAGCCCCTGCATAAAAAAGTCGGTAAGCTATTGGAAGCATTGAAGCTAAGTTGATTCCCAGAATCTTGGAGCTGCCATATTGTGAGAAACTAACCATAATCAACTTGTTTCTCTCATCATATAGAAGGAACGGAGGCAACACGATCATAGTTTTTAAACTTCCTCATGAGAAATTTGCATCCCATACGCCAAGATATTTCTTGTCTTCTTCCAAAACAGAGACATCAATAGGACACAAAAATGTTCACAAGCAGAGAACAAGTAACGTACCGGCTCACTACTGACTTTTGCATCGCATCGTAAAAGAATTTAACACGTTATCCTGATAGAAAACATAGGCTCCATCTATGAATGCATTCAAGAGAAAGCAGAATCAATGGAGAGATCAAGACATTCAGCTTCTTGACCTTTCTAAACTGAAACTATTCTGTCACTTAGTTGCACAGGCGCGCTTATCGCTTTTTTGCGCTACAATAACAGAAATTGGTAACGTAAGTCAAATGATGTTTTGTGTCTTCGCAAAACAAATTGTCACCTATATGTAGTCAGTCGAAAAGCTTTCTTAAATTTTTGACATATCAATATGCCTAAAGACCATGTACCTGAAGCTATTTAGTTCTTAATTAGTGGACTGAGACATGTCCTTTTACGGTATCTCATGTAGTGAACTATAATCTTCACGCTATATACGCTTGGTCTCGATCCATAAATTCTTATTTTGAGGCATTTTCCCTCAACTTCACGAAGTCTTACTTGTTATTAGAGTTTTTATTCACTAGATTCACTTATGAAATACAGTAAATGAAAGAGTTGACTTAAGAATAAGCTTTTTCACCTTTTAATCTAAAGTAACGGTTATTATATTTTAGTTCACAAAGTCTTCTGATATTTCTAACATTATAAAGTTCGATGATCTTGTAATTTTGTTCATTTTCTAGTAGCAATCCGTATTCTGATTTTGAACTTATGGCCCCTTAGAAAATGTCTCAGCTCTTTGTTTTTTATTTTGTTTTTCAACTTATCTTTCACATCCTTTCAACGACAACTTACGTCACTGTTCCAAAATAGACTTATCTCCAACATGTTCGGAAGTATTTGTATCAAATTTGTCTTTGTCTTGGGTTTTTACTTTCTCTGATTTCTAGAAGGTCTGTGTATGTATCCTACTTTTTTAATCCACATACACGACTTTTTATTTCTACAGTAGAAGTCTTTTATATTAGTTGTGTAAATCTTATCAGTGATACTGTGGCCTACAATTAATCAGTTTCATTTGGCATTTGTGCATTCTGTACGAATTATCTCGACATAGACATTAGGTCACAAGCATTATAAGGTAGATGGGTAGTGGACACAACACGCATCCTGGATTCCGCTACTAGCCATTATCCATGTTTATTCAATAAATCTGAACTTATGTTTTTCAATAAGTAATAATAGTAACTGCCTAATAAACTTAACGAGCATCATAATTTCCTGGAAATCGACTCATCATTACAATATATTGCAGGTTAATAACCTCTCTTATTAAAACATTTTTTTTTACAGTAACATCTGCTATAAAATCAGCATAAATTTTACCGATTACAGAACTCACATACTATATTACCTTAATTGATATTATATTTCTCCTTTACCGCAATAATTATTTGACTGTCGAGTAATATGAAAGCTACTAATCATCATTTTCAAGTAACAGTTCATCAAATTGATGTCTCACTTTTAAAATATTTTTATTTTCCTGTCTTTAATATCCTTAGATCACTTCGCATCGATTCATCTTATAATTTAACAACAAAAAGAAATGAGCAGTGAAGAATTGGATCAATTTTTTAGAGATCCTATGGTTTTAGCTCATATCGAGTCATTTATGGATGCGCATTGTTCTAGTAATTATAAAATTTTTAATAAATAAACTCTTTTAACATTTTTAATCATGAACAGTATTCACATGTGAAAAAGAAATTCATGCTGAACATTATGTTGCACATAAAGCATTTTCAGAAATGGTAAGTGAAGCTAAATTATTCTTTATTTCATATTTTCTATTTTAGATGAATTTTCATTTACTAATCTAGTTTAGGTGGCTTAGTTATTAACTAACATACTCCACTTTTCGTCTCTTACAAATGTAAATAATGGTTAAACAAATCATGGGATGTGGAATAAATCACATTTAACTATATGAAATATGAGATCTAATAGGATACCGCTTCGGGCCTAGTTACTGCACCATCGGCAAGATAAAATTAACCAGGTGAATAACAGTTTCAGTAAGTTAAAAGAATGGTGTAAAGAACATGGTTCCAAAAGATAAGATTAGTTTACGTCATTCAAAATATAGGAGTATCAAAACAGCATATAGGAGATAAGGAATAAAGGATCCTCTACAACAGTTAATTCTGAGCCATGTTCCTAAGTTTTCAAACTATCGATTACAACTATCTTACAGGTCACAACATAGTAGCATGTGCCTTCCAAAATGACTCAGAGCAATAATCAGCTCCAAACTTTCTTCTGAAGACCATTGGTACATTTAGGGTCATTCATTTAACTTTTTTTTCTATTCATGATTGATACTTAAGACCACTATGGTTGTATAGTAACAACCTTAGAATTTCTTGCACTTTTGAAGGCGATTTTCACACCCACAGAGTACAATACAAAGCAAACTGTTTTGAGGTATACTTATTCTTTGATAGACCTATGGATAATTATTCTACACTACAGGGACATTACTCTAAAAAAGCCTAGATTTTCTGAACTAGTAATGGATCAGAAATGATGTTACTTTTAAAATAAGTGAAGTAATCCGTGCATTCAACTATTGCAGTCCATAGCGTCGAAGTAGATTCGATACCACCTTTTATTTCCAGAGGAGATTCAGAAAAAAAGGACATTGATTTTATTAGTAGAATATTTCGACTAACTAAAGTAATTTTAGTCTGGTTCTGTACATATTGAAATCAATCTTTAAAACTTTGTTCTTGTAAGTAATTAGTACTGATAAGTGTTGATAGGGTCTTTCTGTTGAGCTTTTAATTGTGTGAAAACATTACACCGCTTTCTCAGTCTTTATTCCTAACACCTGTAAATAAGAATTTCAAAAGTCACAACTTGACTTGGAATTTAAACAAACTTACTTTAACTACTTTTCCTTACAAGAATAATTTGGAATTAAAGGTTGCTATTCTGTAACTACTTACTTCCAAATCACTTATTTGATTATTTACTAACAAACACAAGTTCATTCCATATATCATGAAGGTTTAACAAATAATATTTTTTACTCTAATGAATAATAAAACTCTATGATGTAACCCTTTCAATAAGTTAAGTTCTCTGGTGTGATTTAATTCCTAGGGAATTTTACAAACTGATTGAATGGTCAGTTCTTAGTCACTTTTTTTAGGATTTTCAAACTGCTCTGGTAGTGTCCACTCCTTAAAAACATACTTCTTATACATACTGTTATAATTCTCTCTCATATTACAACCCAGCTATTCCTAATGCTTAGTATTCTAGGACATCGATTCACTCGAAACGTTTCCCTAAATGAAAACACGATCGAATAGGAAACAGATTCTATTCCAATAACAAAGATGAAAATAAGTAGCTCAAAAGGAAAAAAACGTTAGTATTTTTATAGTTTCTTACACGAGAAGATTCTAGAATGTTCCCTCTCTATCGACTAACGCTGATTGGGTACGAAAGGGCCAATCAGTGTGCAAAAACGCAATCGTGTATGTAACATGCTTTAGTTCAATCTCTGTCCTGCTAACACATACTGAAGCACAATTTCCATTTTAGACCTCTAATGGTAAAATAAATAAGTTCAAGCAGTATTTTTTTATCTTCCTATTTGCTATCTGTTGAGGTTACGTGATCATCTAGAGTAGTGGAAATCTTGTTTGTTTATATGTCATTGTATCTATTGAGACATCGATTGAAAAATTTACAACAGTTGAGTATTTAGCTTCAAACTACACTCCAAATGTGAGGAGCGGGTCAGTAATCTTAATTGTTTTCACATATCGAACCTATTATCGATTGTATAAGATTTGAAAACCTTTACCTACAAGCTACCTACCAATCCACGCGTAAGCAGCAGCAGTATAGTGCCCCCATACTATCAGTAATTAGTCAATTAACAGCAACGTAGAACTTCGTACGTACGTACCTAAGTTCAAGTTTCCGTACCACATTAGCGCACAGAGATGTAATTGTCAATTCAAATCCCATAGTAGTAGAGGTAGTAAAGGTATTAGCAGTAATCGGGAAGATTAAGGTTTGAGGATATTATTGAAGAAGTAGAATCTAGTGAAATAAACGTAAAAAGATAGAAAGAAGAGGAACTCTGAAGGTTAGGATTTAATAAAACACAAAGAATGAATGCAATCGCGCCATAGAAAACGGTTTTGAGCCATGTCATTCAGGGTATAACCATCGATTACTATCATCTCGCGATCCCTATCAACATGACTCAGTTCACTTGTCAGTGACTTCATTGATTTGTGCCATGTTTTGGTCTGGCCGCCCCTAGCTTTCTTCCAACGTATTCCTATATCACAAAACATAGCTTGTCGAGGCAGTCGGTGGTTAGGCATACGTAACACATGTCCCAGCTACCTCAGCTGATGAAGTTTCAATACTTCATCCTTTGATCTGCCATTCTTACCTAGTACTCGTTTCCTAAAAATAGCATTGCTTACTCGATCGCCCCAGAATACACCAGCAATGCTTCGAACAAATCTGTAGTCGAATACCAGTAACCTACTAATATCCTCTACTCTTAACGGCCATGTTTCGCAGACATAGAATCGGGCGGAGCGATCTGCTGCACAGTAGACTCGTTTTTTAGTTAGCAAACGGATATCTCACCTACTCCATAAGTGACGCAATTTGGCCAAAGCCAATCGAGATTTATGTATCCGCTCTGAGATTTCGTCAGTCACCAGGCCATCAGTACTGATCAGACTCCCCAGATAAATGAAGCAGTCAACATGCTCAACTACTTCACTCCTTATCACCAGTTCAAGTGCGCTGACACAAGCCAATCTTTAAAAGCAACATGTTACATTTCAACGAGGGGCGAGAATCGCATCCCAAACATACTTGCATTGTTGCTTAGGGTAGGTAGTCAGTAGGTACTGCAATATAATTAAACATTCTTTCATTTTGATTAACCTTTTTTTGCTCTTTGCTTATTCCTTTTTTTTTCTGTAGATGAAACATCTATTATTAGACAATTCATCAATTCAATATAATCAAATTCAAGAAATCTATGCTACTTATAAAATAACAAATGAAGAAAATTTCTTATTGAATTCCATTTCTTACATAATTGCTTCATGGAATTTTGAATTATTTTATCAATTAATGACTTTAATCAATGTTGATTTACAATTGGAAGCATTACATTTTATTCAACAAAAACATCACAATCAATCTGTGTACGTGTGGGGGGAGGGGTAGACGTTTTGTAATTTAGTTATTTATTTTCTTAAAAATATCTTCCTTATTGTCAATTATTCTTAGGATATGCAGTCAATATCCTAAGTGAATTATTCTTGTAAGTCTAGTTACTTACTTACTTACTTACTTACGCCTGTTACCCCCAATAGAGGAGCATAGGCCGCCCACCAATTTTCTCCTCCAACCAACTCTGTCTGTCCTGGGCTTCTCTCTCCAGTTCTGTCCAATGTTTATTCATTCCTCTCATATCTTTCCCTATTTCTCAGGGTGTAATGTATTCTTTGGCCTTCCTCTTTTCCTTTTGCCTTGAGGGTTCCATGTGAGGGCTTGTCTTGTGACGCAGTTAGATGCTTTTCGTAGTGTGTGTCCTATCCACCAACTCCACCGCTTCTTCCTGATTTCCTCCTCCACTGGAATCTGGTTTGTTCTCTCCTACAGTACGTTGTTCCTAATTGTATCTGGCCAACGAATCCGAAGTATTTTGCGTAGACAACTGTTAATAAACACTTGTATCTTCTGGATGATGGTTGTAAGTCTAGTGCTATCGGTTAATTCCTACTGGTCAATATATATTATGGTCGTCCTAACTATTAGTGTCACTTCAAATGTTGTTGTTTCTTATTGGTCATCCTAACTGTCTGTCAATGGTCACAGACTTCAATATGGGGTTCTTATTGGACCTAACTGTATAAATATATGCATTATCTGTAATGTTTTATGACCAGGACCCAGATCCATAGTCCAGGAGACTGACTCTCTTTTGGACTTGGACCTCGTACTTTCTGAATGCGTATAGAATACACGTTCTACTTTATATCCTGCCACGTTTTGGTCTGGCCGCCCCTACTTTTCTTCCAACCTACCTCTTACATCTCAAAGCATAGCTCGTCGAGGCAGTCGGTGGTTAGGCATAAGTAACACATGTTCCCAACCAACTCAACTGATGCAGTGTCAATACTTCATCGATTGACCTGCCATCTTTACCTAGTACCCGTTTCCTAACGACAGCATTGCTTACTCGATCATCCCAGGACCTAACTGTATAAATATATGCATTATCTGTAACGTTTTATAACCAGGATCCGGATCCTTAGTCCGGGAGTTTGACTATCTTTTAGACTCGGACCTCGTACTTTCTGGATGCTTGTAGAATACACGTTCGACTTCGTATCAAGTCTGCTTCTTTTACTCAATGGGGGTTTGGGACGCTCGGATTAGAGTAGCCTATCGTGTCGCTAGATCCTCGAACCTCGATCTCGTTTAGTAACCAAGTTGCGAACTCGTAGTAGTTCAAGCGTATCAAAATGAAGTGTTGACGTGCATTCGACTTATTTTGCTGTTAATAATCTTTCTAATTTTATTTTGTCCTACTTGAACAAACACAGATTTGTACAAGATTCTTTGATATTATCCTAATTAAACTGGGTAATGAAAAGCAGCTTAGGAACCATTTGAATTCATTGAGGCATTAATTACTGGGAAAGATGTGCATTACAAGAAGCCAAATTTAGGATTTTAAGCACTTCACTTATAAACATTGTACTTTTAGATTCCCATATAGTTAAAATCTAACAATTTCATATAGATTTGTACGTGAAGATTGGTTAACATTTGTCAGTTTAATCAATCTCATTCACATCAGGTGTGTATAGATTCGTGTTCTTAACTGTTAGCCATAACTATAAGAGTGAGTGTGTAGCGAACGAGAACACAGGTGGGGCAATCGAATTGTATTTAACGAGAATTACAGAGCTACTCAGTAAAATTGGAAAACCATATCGTAAATCGGTAATTTGCAAAATATCAGTTCATCATATCGAACTGGACTGTTCCTGTTGCAAAACATCAATCCATTGTCACTATTCATGCGTTTCATACACAAATTCCATTGTGTTCTAACTCTTCCTTTCTTGATCTCTCCCCATCTTCCGCTGCCAGACATTACGTTGACTCCCATGTCATATACTACTTATAAGTAGCTCACATCACAAGTGTAAGGGCAGGTTATACCATCTAATCAAGTATAATAGTAATTGTCTAGTACTGTTTAATTCTTAACTGTTCTTCACTTAACAACTCTGTCAATAAAATAACCTGTGTAAGTTAGTTTATCGTTTTTACACTAAAACCTTGTCTAATAATGTTTATCCCTAACACATTTCATTGGATATGAATAATTGTTGGAAGTTGGTGTATTATACACTATCACAAAAATATATTCAATGTATCCACAAGAATAGTTAATTGTTTTCAACTATATCAATTCATCACAACTACTTTAGAACCTTTGTCAGGTTTGAGCATTACAATATTTGATCTTTTATGGAGGTTTCTTAAGGCACAGAAATGTTTTGATGTTAAAATATTCCTGTGTCTGATTTTGGTACCGTGAAATTGGTGAGCTATATCAACCCATTTCGCTTTCAACCATTTTGATTATCTTGATTGGTTGGGACAAGACGTTCAGTTGAGTTAAAGAGATTTTCAACAGATCATAAAAATTGTTACATACTTATCCAGGCTAAACTGCAAGGAATTTCTGCGAGTATCAATAATGAAAGACTTATCCAACTTTTGCTTCATAGCATATTTCATTTTAGAGACCATTGAACTGCAAAAGTTCATAAATTTAATATGACCTACAACAGAAACATTTGATAATATACATGATGCACATTTATGAAGTTCAGTTAACTTACATATCATTTCATTACATTTTTCCACGTGATATTTCATGAGACGAAGGAGATTAGAAATATATTGAATTAATTTATTAGATCGTAAGAATTTATAAAATTGTGTAGTAAGGTACAATTTGTAAAAGTCCAGCTTTACCTTTTCAGAAGTGATTTTTGCATTTAACAGTTCATCTAACCGTTTAATGCAAGACGGAGGGTGTTTTCTTTTCAGAATTTTAAAACAATTAGTCCCTTTTTTATAAATTTACACTTATTTTATTCATAATTATTATAACTTTCTTTTTTGTAGACAAATTGATTCCAGCAACAACAACAATGATAACACTGAGTTGATGAATAATAACTCTACTACACAAATAAATCAAAATGAAATAACTGATATGTTATTAGAAAAATCTCAACAAAAAAATGGAGTGATGAATGTAAGTTAAATGTAACTAATTAATATATGAGCGTATATATATATATATGTTTCGACCTAGTATGGGACTCATCAGCAGTCAGTTAGTCAGTTACAATGTAGAATTTCGTACGTAAGTACATCAATTCATGTTGCCACACCACATTAGCACAGAGATGCAATTGTCAATTCAAATCCTATAGTGCTAGAAATAGTAGAAGAATTACTGGTAATGGAGAAGATTAGGATTTGAAGATATTATTCAAGAAGTATAATTCAGTGAGATAAGGTGAGAAAGAGAAAGATAGAAGTGATGAGGAATTCAGAAGGTTAGAATTTGAGAGAACACAAAGAATGGATGCACCTGCGCTATTGCAAACGGTTTTGAGCCATATCGTTCAAGGTCTCTAACCATCGGTGAGTTTCGTCCTCGCGGACCAGAACCAGGTAGGCTACATATGCCAACATAACTGAGTCCACTTGTTAGCGACTTCATGGATTACTGCCAAGTTTTGGTTTAGCCGCCCCTAACTTTCTTCCTAACCTACTCCTACACCACAAAATATCTTCCAATTTACCGGCCATGTTTTGCATCATCAGCAGTGTGCATTTAGACCCCGCAAGCGAAAACCGAATCCTAGACTTTTGGTCTCGTGCATGAACGCCTAATCTCTAGACTACTGAGCCAGCAACTCATGGTGTTATTATCTAACCTCAATGACTCCATGATATTGTGTGATATCATCGATTTGTTTTTTGGTGTGTCACACACTTGATTCGATTGAACTCCATTGGTGATGGCTTCTCACCAGAACTCCGAGAATTCCCTCACCAAACTGGTCTCTAATAAGCACATTTTCATGATTTATACGAAACTCAACAGTCTCTCACTGATAGTTAATAGTTCGAGAGCAAAACTGAAGGTCATGAGTTTTTACTCTCGCGTATTAGCATCATGGATGCGCACTGTTGATGAGTCCCATACCGGGACCAAAACGGTCATCCAGTGCTTCTAGTTTCTAATAGTCAATCTAACAATCTCTATTACTCCATAATGACGATTTCAAATATATTGAACTTATTGAATAGTATGCCAATCATAAGAGAATTACACCCAATCATAAAAGGTTAGAAATTTTAAATTTCTACTCATTATAAAATATCGCAAATATATTATTATTTAATTATTGTAGGGTTAGGGCATTCGCGCTTAATACTGAAGGTCCTGGGTGCAGGAGTCGTGGATGCGCACTGCTGATGAGTAGTCCCATACCAGGACGAAACGGCCGTCTTTCAGTGCTTCCAGATTTCTAATGGTGGTCTAACATTGATCGATTCATGGTTTCAAAAATGTGTAACTTAACAATCTTCACAACCCCGTAATGCATATTGTATATTATGCTTGATTTGTGTCTTTCTTTTTCGCTTTTACATTATTTGATATTAGACAATCAAACAAACAATTCAAAATGAACTTTGTGAAAATTGTCAGGTAAAAAACAATGAACAATTAATAACGAAGGTAAGTTTTTTTAATGTATTATATTTATACGGTCCATCAAAATTGTCATTTTTGTTAGGGGCGTTAGATCCCCAGAACTCACTTGATGAAGGTCCTAATTTTGGATTATATGCTTTCGTGCATAGGTTGATCAGCTGACCTTTTCGTCACTTAGTATGCTTGAGGCTATTACGAGTTTACCTTAGTCGATAAACGCGAACGAGACAATGAACCAGCGTCCAGGTAGGCTACCTTGAATCCAAACGGTAAAACAGAAGTCTTGATAAGCGTAGAAAGTATATTCTACAAGCACCCAGCAATCACAGTACAATCAAGCACACAACTCTCGTTTATTTATACAACATAACAACGTCCTTGAGACAGTTAAGAAAACAGCATACTAAAATACACTGTAGCCAATCACAGCCATTGATTTTCCTGGTGGGAATTGAAATCTCAAGGTCATTTGATCAGCCCATGCTGGCGAAACGTGAAAACCAAAATACGGCATTATCAAGCGAATTTTGGGGATCTAACATCCCCAACAAAACTGTTGGGGATGTTAGTGGCGACGGGGTAAAACCATATCCACAATTCACAATGTCAATTAATCTTGAACAGTTAGAATCTTTACTGGAACGTCAAGGTAAACGATATGAACAGTTTCAGGAACGTATGTTGGAGCTGTTAATGAAACAAATGAATTTGAATCACAGAGGTTTTGCCGATGATTCATATAATCCGCATACAGACTCGATAGTTAATTCCATTCATGAATTTCATTTTGATGGCCTTGCTGGTGTGACTTTCGAGTCTTGGTTTAAGAAGTATGAGGATTTGTTCAAGGTCGACCTCAACAATCTTGATGACGCCACCAAAGTCAGAATCCTTTTGAGAAAGCTCGGCACAATCGAACACGAACGTTATAGTAATTTCATCCTCCCAAAGAACCCACGAGATTTCTCTTTTGATGCTACAATTGATACGCTGTCGCAAATCTTCTCTGAACAGTCATCTCTCTTTAATATTCGTTATCAATGCCTCAAAATAATCAAGTCAAATGAAGATGACTGGGTAAATCATGCTGGCTTAGTAAATCGTGAATGCGAACGATTTAAATTATCATCAATGACGGAAGATCAGTTTAAGTGCCTTGTGTTTGTGTGCAGCTTACAATCTCCCGACGATGCTGATATAAGAACCAGAATCCTAAGTAAAATTGAACAGTGCCCAAACATCTCGCTTCAAGAAATAACTGCAGAGTGCCAGAGATTAGTAAACTTGAAGCATGATACCTCCATGGTCGAAAACAAGGGCCTCTCATCATACGTGCATTCCATTAGTGAAAAGAAAAATTCCAATTCGGCCCAAAAACCCAAAATGAATCCACCTTCTGCTTGCTGGCACTGCGGTTCATGGCACTATGTACGGAACTGCCCATTTAGGCAGCATAGATGCAGGAAGTGTAAAGTCATTGGTCATAAAGATGGCTTTTGCCTACAGAAAAAGCCAAAGCGATCCAGAAGTGCTAAGAAGCCTGTTCCTCGATCCAGTACCAATGCATTGAGCCTAATATCTTCCTGCCAAAGTTCATCACCAGGTGAGAGGAAATTTATTACTCTTAATATTAACGGTTATTTGTGTAGAATGCAAATAGATACTGCATCTGATGTCACTATCCTCTCACGCAAAAATTGGACCAAATTGGGCAGCCCAAGCCTGCAGCACACAACACAAAAGCCGCGTACAGCATGTGGTAATTATCTTCGTCTGTTAGGACAATTGGAATGTAAAGTTGCTTCCGAGATTCGTCGTTTACTGGGGTATGCTATATAACGCCAGCTGATCTAAATTTACTTGGTTTAGATTGGTTCGACCAGCTAAAATTGGCTGATGTCCCGCTAAATACCATATGCAGCCTGGTATCACAACGACATGACCCAGAAGCGCATACGAAGAACCACGCAGAATGTCATCTGACAACCGCAGTTCGCGCATTACCGGTGTCTGCAACAGACATACAAAATGCTTCTAGAAACGACCCCATCATCAAGATGACGATGAAATATGTCACTAACGGTTGGCCGTCGAAAAAGTTTGAAGGTGACATGAAGCAACTGTATCAGCGGCGGGAGTCACTATGCATCGTGAACGATTGTCTCATGTTTGGTGAAAGAGTAGTGGTGCCAGCATCCCTTCGTGCAAAAGTGCTGAGACAGTTCCATCTTGGTCATCCTGGGATTAAACGAATGAAGTCCATAGCCAGGAGTTATGCATACTGGCCTCACATGGATCAACATGTCACAGCGTTGGTTGAAAAATGCATGCGGTGTCAGCAGGCGGCAAAGATGAATGCCAAAATTCCGCCGGTTTCATTGCGTAAACCTGAGCATCCTTGGTCCAGGATACATGTCGACTTCGCTGGCCCAATAAATAGAACTATGTATTTAATTGTCGTCGACGCCTTTTCTAAATGGCCGGAAATCAGCCCCGTTATGCCGCCCACTACAACTAAGACTATACAGCTCCTAACTGAAATTTTCTCACGAAATGGCATACCAGATGTGATCGTATCCGACAATGGCTCTCAATTCACCTCTTCCCAATTCCAGAATTTCTGTCAACGGCTAGCCATTAAACACTTACGCTCGCCACCATACCACCCGCAATCGAATGGGCAGGCGGAAAGGTTTGTGGATACGTTTAAAAGAGCACTGCTCAAGTCAAAAGGGGAGGGGACGCCAGCCGAAGCATTACAAAATTTCTTGTACGTCTATCGGACAACACCAAATGAATTGTTACCGGAGCAAAGGTCCCCAGCTGAAATCCTGATGGGAAGAAGATTGAAAACGATCCACAGCCTGATGCATCCGACTAATGCACCCTCATCAGTAAAGACAAAGCAGCAAAGACAATCCGCTTACGAGGTGGGATGCCCTGTGTTTGCCCGCGACTACAGAACGAACCATGGTCCTTGGGTAGAAGCGAGAGTGGTCAGAAGGGTTGGTCGAGTTATGTACGAAGTAGAGGTAGGAGGTGATAAATGGTCACGTCATCGGAATCAGATACGCAGACGGCTAGCCCCAGATCGCCCATCAAGAGCAGAAAGCCTTCCCCTTGACATCTTGCTTGATACCTTCAACCTACCGAGAGGCCCGCCACGAGAAGAAACGCAACAGCAAGCTGTTCTTCGTTCCCGAAGGTATCCCCTCAGACAGCGGCGAACAATAGTCAAGATGCAAGTCGACCCCAGGAGAACAAGCTATTAAAAAGGGGAGGAGTGTTGGGGATGTTAGATCCCCAAAATTCGCTTGATAATGCCGTATTTTGGTTTTCACGTTTTGCCAGCATGGGCTGATCAAATGACCTTGAGATTTCAATTCCCACCAGGAAAATCCATGGCTGTGATTGGCTACAGTGTATTTTAGTATGCTATTTTCTTAACTGTCTCAAGGACGTTGTTATGTTGTATAAATAAACGAGAGTTGTGTGCTTGATTGTACTGGGATTGCTGGGTGTTTGTAGAATATACTTACTACGCCTACAAAGTCTTCTATTTCGATTCTGGGATTCAAGGTAGCCTTCCTGGAAGCTGGTAAAAGTATCGTTCGCGTTTATCGACTAAGGTAAACTCGTAATAGCATCAAGCATCTTAAGTGACGAACATATCAAAAACTACATTTCCCACTCTGAAAATCTTTGACTTTCATTAGTTAATGTACTGTTTTAGTACGCTATTTTTGTTGCTCTCCTAAGGATTTTTCTATCATGTATCAATAAACTCCATTGTGTCTGCTTGTGAACCTCGTATTTTCTGCTTGCCTGTAGAATACACTTTCTACGTTTTGTCAAGACTTCTCTCTCTGCTTAGTCGAGGGCCTTGAGAAGCTCGAATTGGAGTAGTAGCCTATCGTGTCACTGGATCATTTGTCTTCGCTCTCGTTTATCGACTAAGGTGAACTTGTAATAGCATTCTAGCATATCAATTCTAAAGGCAGAGTTTCTATTGGGCTTCGTCACTTAGTCGATAAACGTTAACGAGATTTTTTACCAGCGTCCAGGTAGGCTACCTTGAATCCCAAAATAAAGTAAGAAAGCTTTGTAAGCGTAGAAAGTATATTCTACAAATACCCAGCAATCACAATACAATCAAGCATACAACTCTCGTTTATTTATACATCATAGAAACGTCCTTGGGACAGTTATGAAAATAGCACACTAAAATACACAGCAGCCAATCACAGTCATGGATTTTCATGGTGGTAAATGAAATCTCAAGGTCAACTGACCGGCCCATGCTCGCAAACGTGAAATCCAAAATACGGCATTTATCAAACGAATTTTGGGGATCTAACATTTACGACAGTTTCATTTACCAGACTAAAATCAATAAACTGTTTTGACTTTTAAGAATAAATATGAATACACTAAATGATTTTACTGGAAGTTCAAATGCAGAAACTTACTTTTACGATGATAAATGTAAACAATAATGATTTGATTTCAACACAGATAAGTTTCATTATAACCAATTCACTATGATCGCGAACAGATAAAAAAAAACTGTATTTACTAATCGGAAAAAAATTATTAGTTTGTAGTTGGTCGTTGAAATATATATACAATTATACAGATTAACCCGCTATTGGCAAGGGTAATTTTGCATTGGTTTTCAGTAGAACCAAGGATTTCGCCCGCGTGTTCACACTACAACCTAAACAGTTCGGCTCAATCCCGTGGTGCAACCACACGCAGGTACATGACACCCTGTGGACCGTTCACACCACTTATGTATACACCAGTACATGTTTAGTGATTATTTCCTACCTATGATCGTGTGGTGTGAGCTACTTATAAGTAGTATATGACGTGAGTGTCAACGTAATGTCTGGCAGCAGAAGATGGGGGAAGATCAAGAAAGGAAGAGTTAGAACACAATGAAATTTGTATGAAACGCATAAATAATGACAATGGATTGATGTTTTGCAACAGGAACAGTCCAGTTCGATATGATGAACTGATATTTTGCAAATGAACAATTTACGATATGGTTTTCCGATTTTACTGAGTAACTCTGTAATTTTCGTTAAATACAATTCAGTTGCCGCACCTGTGTTCTAGTTCACTACAATCGCATCAATCAATATGCACCGCATAAACACAGGCCAATTCGACCCATCCTACCTACATGACTGTCACAAACTCTTCATTATTGGCAGTGTTGATATGTCGCAATACAACAACACCCCAATGACAATGTGACCCTCAGGAATGTTGTAAAACAACCATCGTCAGTATATCAATGGAATCAGCCATCCTGCCAATCAAATTCTCATATAGGCAATTGGCTAAACTTGCTAAAGCAATGCAAAGCTATCCACAATATTCATCACAACGCACCTATGATCTCATAAGAAAAAGTAATTTAATCAGTCACGATCAGTTTCTCATATCAATCAATTCACTTGCATTTAAAAAGCTCAGTGTTGTAAAAATCCCTTCTTTTGATTCATATTCACTTACCAGTCAGAAGTAAGTAGGTAGATGGTAGTTTATCAACTACTCACTTGATAGGTGAGGGCATTTTGTTATTAAGTCAGTCAGTCAGTTGCAACGTAGTACTACGTACGTATGTACATAAGTTCATGTTGCCATACCACATTAGCACAAAGACGCAGATGTCAAATCAAATCCCATAGTGATAAAAGTAGATGAGGTATTAATGGTAATGAAGAAGACTAGGGCTTGAAGATATTATTCAAGAAGTATAATTAGGTGAGATAAGGTTAGAAAGACAAAGGTATGATTGCTGACGAATCCATAAGATAAGGATTTGAGACAGCACAACGAATGGATGCACTTGCGCCATTGCAATCGATTCTGAGCCATGTCGTTCAAAGTCTCTAACCATTGGTGACTTTCGTCTCGCGGACCCAAACCAGGTAGTCTACATCTACTAACACAGTCCACTAGTCAGTGACTTCATGGATTTCTGCCATGTTTTGGTCTGGCCGCCCCTAGCTTTCTTCCAACCTACTCCTACACCACAAAACATAGCTCGTCGAGGCAGTCGGTGGTTAGGCATTCGTAACACATGTCCCAACCACCTGAACTGATGAAGTTTCACTACTTCATCTATTGATCTGCCATTCTTACCTAGGACTCAAGTGTTTAATTAACTACACATTAAGAGATATATGTATACATATACATTGAAATCATGAATGAATCATTGTTAGACCACCATTTGAAACCTGGAAATACTGGAAGGCCGTTTGGTCGCGGTATTGGACTCATCAGCTATGCTCATCGAACTTAGGACCTCTGGTCTTGCTCGTGAATGTTGAACGGCCAACTAGTGCTACCAGGTTTCTAATAGTGGTCTAACAATGATTCATTTATGATTTCAGTATGTAAAAGCAATGATTTCTATAATACTCTAATGCTCTAATATATGCACATCTATGTATAAGTCTATCAATTAGATCTGTAATTTATTACTTTCGGAAGAGGGTCAATAATACTTATTTCTAAGTGGATAGATGTGTAGTGATGGAGAACACAGGTGAGGGCAACCGAATTGTATTTAACGAAAATTACAGAGTTACTCAGTAAAATAGGCAAAAACCATATCGTAAATGGTTAATTTGCAAATCTTCAATCAATCATCAATCCATTGTCTGACATTTCACTTATTCATGCGTTTCATACAAATTCCATTGTGTTCCCACTCTTCCTTTCTTGATCTTCCCCCATCTTCTGCTGTCAGACATTACGTTTTCACTCGTGTCATATACTACTTATAAGTAGCGCGCACCACAGATGGATAACATTTTTATGCTTTTGCTACCCGTTTTCTGTCTATTCTATCTCATATTCTATGTATACATTTATCTTAGATTGATTCTAATATTGCTCGTGATATACCTACAACAATTCACACTAACCGTCCGGAATCAAAACTAGATTGTTCCGCTGATACAATGACATCATCATCATCTGATGACATGTCAACAAGACATAACAATAATGAATCTATTCATCAACAGAAATATGGTAATACTTCAAAGCCAACTGAAGATGAATTAGTTGAGAAACAAGCATTTTTACGTAAACAACGTGATTTACTAGTGGAAATACGTCGTAAAAAACGTGAACAATTATTATTATTATCTTCTAATCAGTTACATAGTTCAACGGATGACTGTCTTAAAGATACTACTAATAATGTAAGTTGTGAAACCAAACAATTCGAAATTTTCATTTTTCCTCTGTTCAGTTATAATAGAACACTAGACTACGAAGGTTTTAAAACATAAATACGGAGGAAGAGACTTTAAATGACATGACTCGAAATTATTTACAATGACACATGTGTGTCATCCATTCTTTGCGTTTACTCGAATTCTGATCTTCTGAACTCCTCATCATAACTTTCATCTTTCTCGTCCCAAATTTATTTCACTGAGTTTTTACCTTTCCAACCATATTTTTGAACCCTAATCTTCCCGATTACTACTGATACGTTTACACTGCCTCTACTACTATGGGATTTGAATTGACAATGGGATCTGTCTGTGCCAATGTGATATGGAAACTTGAACTGATTTACGAACGTACATACGAAGTTCTAAGTTGTAGCTGACTG